TGGTGGATGCCAGCACTGTGTGTCCTGACACCTCTCTGTACCTGCCTGCTCCGGAGGCCCGGACAGGCAGCGGGGCAGGGGCTGCCCCGCCGGGACCGACATCACTGACATCACACCCGCCTCGGTTGTATCGTCCAAGTGTGTGGATTCCTTCACTGAGCTCGTGACGTGGAAATAAAATGTGGTTGGTTTTAAAGCTGAGCCGCGTTGCAGTCTTGTGTCCGTGGCCTCAGGCCGTCCAGCTCCGCTCCAGGGTGCCCAGCTCCAGCCCCTCGCAGAAGGGCTGCGGCCAGCGGGCCTTGTGCTGCACGGGGGGAACGTGGCTCGTGCCCCTGGGGGCTGTCCCTTGTGCCCCTGGGGGCTGTCCCAGCCAGGGACGGCTCCCGGCGCTGCCCTGGAGTCACCCTGCCGGGCTGGGTGGGCAGGGTGCAGCCCGGGGCACCCGCACCCCCTGCACCCCCGCCCGGCCCCTCCGCCCTTCCCGGCCCCCTGCTCACCGGTCGCTGCCTGGAAAGCTGGTGCAGGGGGAAGGGAGCCCACTGGATGGGCTCCATGGGCCAGCTGGACACCGAGATGTCGCTGGCTTTCCCCGAGTCCACCATAGGGTCATTGATGCTGCTGGAGCTCGTGTCCCACTCGTAATGGAAGCTGGGGAAAGAATCCACGGGTAGTTAAGGGGTGAGAGTCAGGCTGGTGCAGGAGAGGGACCCTGTGCTGTGCCCTGGGGATGGTGAAGTCGCTGTTGGGACAGTGCCAAGCTTAGGCCTGGAGTGAGGGACCACCTGGAGCTGTGGCTTTGCTCCTGATCCCCCCGGGCCCACGGCTGGGGAGGTTCCTGCCCGTCCCGCCCTTTGCCAATAGAGCTGGAAACTTCCAGGGCTCTTTTTCCATGGACACCCCTGGAAGCTGATCTGAGTTTCCCATGAGCACACAGAGCCACCCTTTCCTGCAGACGTGAACTCTCTTCCCTTACAGCAGTCCCAGCACACACAGCTCCTCCCGGGGGAGAAAATAAAATAAAATCATCAGGTGCTGCTCCGGGGGCTCCAGGGGCTGGGGGGGGTCAGAGCTCCTGGCGCTGTCCGTGGAGGAGCAGCCCCTGGCTGGGCAGGGCTGCAAACACGGTTCCCTGTGCCCCACAGCCCTCCCTGCCCAGAGCCCCCCAGGGCAGTCCCCGCTCCCACCTGGGCTGGCACTGTGGGTGGGCACAGGGCGCCGGGCCCCGCTTGGCACCGCTGCCAACGGCGTCCCCCCGGCAGCCGCAGCTGCCCAGGACCCGCAGCTGCAGCAGCTCCTCCGAGTTGCTGAAGGCCGGGTTGTCCAGCGAGCTGGCCGAGGGCAGCCCCGAGCGGGACCAGTACTGGGCAGAGACGTCGTCCAGGCGGCAGAAACGGCGGTAGCTGCGGGGAGGGTGGGCACGGGCTCAGGTGTGCACACACAGGTGTGCACACACAGGTACACAGAGAGGTGTGCACACACGGGTACACACAGATACACACACAGAGAGGTGTGCACACACGGGTAACACACACAGAGAAGTGTGCACACACAGGTGTGCACACACAGGTACACACACAGGTACACACAGGTGTGCACACACGGGTACACACAGATACACACACAGAGAGGTGTGCACACACAGGTACACACACACAGAGGTGTGCACACACAGGTACCCACAGGTACTCACAGGTACACACACACAGGTGTGCACACACGGGTACACACAGATACACACAGAGAGGTGTGCACACACAGGTACACACACAGAGAAGTGTGCACACACAGGTACTCACAGATACACACACACAGGTGTGCACACGGGTACACACATACACACATAGAGGTGTGCACACACAGGTACACACAGGTACACATACACATAGATACAGACACACAGGTGTGCACACACACAAGTACACACAGATACACACATACAGAGGTGTGCACACACACAGTTACAGACACAGGTACACACAGGTGTGCACACATATATAGATACACACACACACAGAGGGCAGGCGCATGCACACGTGTGTACATGTGTACACACACAAGCACGTGAGCACACAACAGCTTGACCACACAGATTGCAGATTTCTGCCCAAATTTCCTGGGCCCAGGGAAGGGCCCAGCCGCACAGGCAGGGTGGGACAGAGCCCGTGACGCTGATCAGCCTCTGGCCGCGCCCCACGGTGGTTGCAGCTGTTCCAGTGGTTTCCTCGGGAACAATCCCCACGGCACATTACAGAACGGGCAGGGAGTGAGGCCAGCACAGCAGAGCCCGTTCCCAAACGAGCTGCTTTGTCAGGGCTGTGCCGGAGCCTTGCTCACCCACCCAGGACAGGCAGGACACGCTGGGGCAGACAGACCCCGTGCCACGGGCAGCACTGAGGGGTCCCAGGGACCACCTAGCTGGAACTCATCAGCACATCTGTCCACAGCAGCACGGCCCACAGCCCTTCAGTGCCACCACAGCCCCATACAGGCCCCCAGCCAGCCTCTCTGCCTGCACCCCACTCCCCGTGGCCGGGAGCATCCCCTCCATCACCTCCCACTGCCGCTATCCCACTCCCAACGCTGTTTTCCTTGGCAGAGCTCATCCCCAGCCCAGTCCCCCCCTCCAGAGCCCACAGACCCCAGTCGGGCCCCCCGTGCTCCCACCTGCTGCGGGTCTGGTCGGCCCTGGCCTCCAGCAGCAGCGCCTTGAAGCGGCGCACGGCGACGGCGGCGAGCACGGCGCCCAGCAGGAGGATGCTGAGCAGGACCCCGGCCGCCGTGCCCAGCAGGCCCTGCTGTGTCACCCGGTAGTCACAGCGCAGCCCCACGAACCAGAAATCGCTGCCCACGGGGCACCTGCACCGAGGGGTCCGTCAGCGCCAGGGGGACGGTGCCGCCCGCCCGGGCTGTCCCCAGGGCACTCACTGGCAGCGCGGCTGGTGGTCCCGGCCGTGGGAGCAGATGCCCTGGTTCTTGCAGTAGGCACGGTGGCAGAGGGAGGTGCAGGTCGCGTTCCCGTCCGGCCCGGCCACGCAGGCGAAGCCGGCCGGGCAGGTGAAGAGCAGAGCGCAGGGGTCCAGCGGCCGCGCTGCGGGGACGGGCCCGGCTGTGTCACCGCTGCCTGCCCAGCGTGTGCCCACCCTGCCACCGGCCCGGGCCTCGCACTCACCCAGAGCCGCGTGGCGCAGGACGGGGGCCGCGCCCACCGCCAGCCCAGAGCCCAGCGCGGCCTCGAGGAGCTCGTCCAGCCCCGGCCCCGGCAGCCGCTCGGCCGCAAAGAGCGCGTCGTAGCGCAGCACCACGCTGCCCTCCCTGCGGGGACAGCGCGGGGTGACAGCCGCCGTGCCCCGAGCCGGGGAGCGGGACGCGCTGCGGGACCGTGCCCACACCCACCTGACCGCCGTCACCTCCAGCCGCAGGAAGCCTGGCACCGGCGCGAAGAGCGGAGTGACCTGCGGGGCGGCGGGGCTGAGCGCGAGCCCCCGGCCCGCAGCCCCCGGCCCGCAGCCCCCGGCCCGGCCCGCACTCACCGTCTGGTTGAAGCTGTGCAGCAGCTCCTGGCGCTCCGGGGACCCCGGGTCCTGCAGGGCCGGCACGAACCCCATGTCCAGCACCAGCTCGCAGGGGATGCGCAGGAGGGATGCTGCAGGACGACGTGGGGACCAGCAGGTCATGACCCCACCCCAGGAGCCACCTCCACCTCCCCCTCCTGCCGTGCCCCAGCAGAGGACCCCAAAACCTGACTCACCTCTGAGGACTGGGGGCTGATCCTCCACGATGAACACCTGGGGGGCCCTGCCCACCCCGGCCAGTGTCACCTGGGGGGTGTCAGGGTCTGTCCTCCCTCTGGGGCTGCTCGATGGCTGGGCCAGCTCTGTGTCCACAGCAGCTGGGGGGGACCCAGGGCCCCCACCATGGGAATCTGTGGGCTGCTGGGGGGGCCCGGGCACCACAGTGGGCACATGAGCTGCCCATGTCACCCCCTGCCCATCCCTCTGCAGTACAGCAGCACGCGGCTCTGCTGTCACTGTGCCCATGTCCCCGAGCCTTTCTGGGCTGGTGGCAGCTGCGATGGTGGCAGTGACACTGGTGGTGGTGACACCAACAGCAGCGGTCGGTCCCAGGGAAGGCACAGGCTGGGACAGATCTGGCTGCTGGGGAGGCCCAGGTGCTGAGGGGGGTGCCAGGCTGCCCTGTGCCACCTGGGTCCCCCCCAGGGATGGAGGGCTCTCAGCAGGACCCACCTTCGAGCTGGAATGGGGCAGCCCTGGGGAGGGGTCTCCCAGAGGGGTGTCCATAGTGGGGCCAAACCCCAGGACCCCCCAGCCGGTCCCTGGGGAAGGCAGCGGGGTCGATGGCAGGGTCACTGCAGAGCCACTGGCTGGGACAGACTGTGGGGAGGGGGGGATGTGGGAGGATCCAGGACTGGCGTCTGCCACCCCACCCTGTGCCATAGCAGGGCTGCTAGGGGGGACAGGGGGCTGCTCTGGGATGGCTGATGGGCTCAGGGGGATGTGACCATGCTCAGGGGGACCCTCTCTGTCAGGTGGGCCCAAGACCCCTGTGGTCGGGTCCAGAGCCCCTCCCTGGCTGGGAGAGGTCACCCCTGGGGTGCTGGCGAGAGGCAGACCTGAGCCCCTGTGTGTGGGAGGCAGCAAGGCTGGGCCTGTCCCCACGGCTGGCCAGGCTGTGCTGCCCAAAGGGCTCCCACCAGGCCCAAGGGACAGGGCAGAGGGGTGAAGGGCAGAGTGGGGACCCTCCTGTGGGCGGGAAGCAAAGCCCTGTCCTCCTGGCAGCCCCCAGTGTGTCCCCTGCAGCGTCCCTGCGGGGGTCAGCAGCCTCTGCAGCCCCCCAGCAAAGGGAGATGTCCCTGGCACTGAGCTGTCAGTGGCCAGCACGGTGCTCGGGCGTGTCCCTGGGCTGCTGTCACCCAGCTGGAGAGTGGCATTCTGGCTCTGCACGAGGGCTGTCCCAGCGGCCCTCCATCCCAGCAGGCTGCTGCTGGACCTCCCCTGTCCCCTGGCAGAACCTGGCACTGTCACAGAGGGTGATGAATACAAAAGTGTCCCCTGCGCTGTCGTGGCACCTTCTACTGTCACAGGTCCTAGAAGGTCAGGGCCCGGGGGGTGCGAGGTGGCAGGATCTGTGCCTGCCTCCACAGGGGTTGGGGTCCCTGCAGGGGTCACCCCCAGCCTGGCAGGGGACGGCTGCTCCCCGCCTGCAGAGACCAGCGGCCCCGGGGGCTCGGTGGCAGTGCCACCCCGCACCGCCGGCCCTGTCCCCTCCCTGCCCAGCCCGGGGCCCCTGGGGCTCTCCTGCGGGCTGGAGAGCTCGGCTGTCCCGGCGGGGGTCCCGGGGAGGGGCGGCAGTTCAGCCTCTGTCCACAGCTGCCCCACGGCCCCTGGTGTCGGCGGCTGCCCCGTGCCAGCTCCCGGCCGCGGGCGATCTGCGGGCAGAGGCGAGGGCCGGACCCTGAGCGGCTCCGACCCCCGGCAGCCGCAGCACACGCGGCTGGCACTCGGTGCCCCGGAGGCAGCGGGAGGGGCGGCGGTACCTGTCCGGCAGCGCTCCCCCGTCGCGGTGCCCGGGTGGGCGCAGGGGTCGGCGGCGCCCAGAGCGGAGCCCGTGCCGCTGCCCAGAGCCGGGCAGAGCCGCGCGCAGCATTCCACGAGCACTGCGAGACAGGGAAAGGAGCATCCCGCGCCAGCACCAGGCACCCCACCGCTGAGGGTGGGGGGCTCTGCTGAAGGAGATGCTCCGGAACAACCCAAACCCAGCCAGGAACCGCCTGTCCCTGTCCCAACGAGCGGTGCCGAGTCCTGCCCCACCACCTCCCTGTGCCCGTGCTGGGAGCCCCGAGCCCGATCATCCCGGCACCGGCACCAACGGGTCCGGGGCAGGGCACGGCGCCAGAGCCTGGGCAGGGCTCCGGGCAGGGCTCCGGGGCCCGTGGCGGCTCCTCTCCAGTGATAACGGGCCTGCCAGCAGGCGCCAGGGCGGGTGGTCACCGCCCGGGTGGGGCTGGCGCTGCTCGGGGGTCACCACCAGCCCTGCGGGCCCCGCTCTCCACCAGCGCCTCAAAGGGCTCCCGCAGGGGCAGCACCCGCCGCCTTCGAGACCACGGACTCGCAGGGGCACGGCACGGCACGGCACGGCACGGCCACACGGAAAACACACGCGGCCGCCGCCGGCGTGCCCGCCCCGCTGCCCGCTCGCCCCGGGCCCGCTCTGGGCAGGTCCCGGTGACACCGAGCAGCAGCGGCCGCCCCCAGCCCCAGCGGGGACACGGACCCGCCCGGTGCCGGTACCGGCCCCACCGCCGCCGCAGACCTCCGGGATGCACCGGCCCTGCCGCCGCCCCCCGAGCGCAGCATCCCCCGCCCAGGGCCCGGCGGGAGCGGGGACCCTTCCCCAGCTCCCCTCGCCTCGCTCACCTGCGGCGGCCAGCAGCCGGGGCAGCGGCGGCCGGGGCAGCGGGAGCCGGGGCCGCTCCATGGCGCGGCGCGGGCGGCTCTGCCAGGCGGCGGCAGGAAGCCCCCGCCCGCCCCCGCTGCGGCGGGGCGGAGGCGCCGGGAACGGCAGCCCCCGGCCCGGACCCGCCCCGCGGCACCGGCCCCGGAGCTCCCTCCCTCCGGGCCGGGGCTCGGCAGCTCGGCACGGCCCCGGGGCTCAGCGCGGAGCCGCCGCCTGCGGCACTCGGGGGCTCAGCCCCGGCCTGTGCCCCTCGCTCCGGTTCATCCCGGGACACGTGCGCTGTCCCCGCTCCGTGAGCCGTGCCGGGACAAAGGCTGCCCCAGGACAGCAGCTCGGCTCCGGCTGCAGGTCCCTCACCGCATCCCTCGGGGTCACCACACCCAAGGGCAGCCAGCGACCACTCCCCACCAGCAGGCACCTTGTGTCCCTGGCACGGGGAAAGCGCCACAGGCACAGCAGCCAAACCCTCCGTGTGCCCCCGCACTGCTGGGCAGCTGCTCAGAGAACACCAGAGCTCAGTCAGGCCCTGGGGCCATGGAGAAGTGTCCAAGGGCACAGTGAGAACAGCTGGAGGGCAGAGGGTCACTGGTGTGCCAGGGATCTCACAGTGGGGTGCAGCCCCTGAGAACGCCCCACAACACAAGCACCACGGGCAGCACTGCAGCCTCTGCTCCATTTTCCATCCTTACCTCCCCCACTGCCAGAGCATCTGTTATCCAGCGACACTTCCTTGGCTCCCAGCCTGGCAGTGCTGCTGTGACATGTCATTTCTTGGCTCTGAGGAAAATCTGCTCACAAATAACCCATTCCTGCCTCGTGAGGGTTAAAGCAAGGCCCCCGTGCTGAGATGAACCGGGTGTACAGGAACAGCGATGTGAATTTGCTGTTCAGCAGCAGGAAAATCATTCCCCCCCTTATTTTCCATCAGGAAAGCAGAAGCCTTTCACACAGAACTTGTTTTTACTAGCACTGGTGAAACAAACAATTACAAGCATGCAGGGCAGAGCCAAATCTCGGGGCAGGGTCCCCAGAGCGTCCTTCACACCCCAACACCACCACCAGGATCCACCCACTGTATGAGACAGAACAGCCACCACCAGAATGGTCTTAACTCTTTATTCCTGTTTTTTTTTTTCTTGTTTTTAAAGGACAACACATTCAGACAGCTTTAAATACAACATCCACGTGCAGCTTCCAAAGAAGGCCGCAGTGGGACAGCTCCCGTCCATCCCTGCCAGCACCAGCCCCGTCCTGGTGTGGGACAACTCCTGGAAAACAAAATCCACATGTTTAACATCTCACCAAGCATTCAAGGGTACAGGAGTGGGTCAGGACATGCTGAGCACCGAACACAGCACAGAAGGAGCCCCCAGTTCTCTCCAGAGGCCACAGCTCCCTCCCTGGCCCTGGACAGAGAAGGGACTCAGCCCCCCTGCCCCAGGGAGTTGGGGGGAAGCCTGGAGCCACACAGGAACAGGCAAGAATGTGGATCAGTGCTGCAGGCTGGCCTGGGGCCACCTCATTTCCCCTGCAGCCCTCCCCGACCGCTCCTATAACCCTTTCCTGCCCATTTCCTTCCCGGCTGTGGCAGAGGAAACAGCAGTGCTGGCAGGGCTGAGGTGCCCCACAGGCCCTGCACGGGGAGATGGGGCCATGGCTGAGAGCAATCTGCCACCCACTGCTGCCCCGGGGAGGAGCTGAGTGCTGCACGTGCCAGGCAGGACGAGAGGAGAGGCTGAGCCCCACGCCCTCTCTCCAGCTGCAGGTTCTTCAGGAAAACACCCTCAGGACAACACACCCCACCTGCCCTCCCTGCTGGCACCCTCAGCTGCTGCCAGCTCCTCCCGAGCTGCTGGGCTCCCACCTGTGCCACACCTCACCCTGCCCCTACCCCAGTGTGTGCCCAGGCACCCTGAGAGCACCTCTGAACTCACCTCTGAGCAACTGCTTCACTCATAAACATCCTTCTTATCTGCAATGTAATCTACAATCTCCTGTGGGCGCATCAGCTTCTCTGCATCTCCGTCAGGAATTTCAAATCCTGCAAGAAAGGGCACACGCTTAGCCCAAAAGCAATCAAAAGGGAGCAAGGATGAGGAAGGCTGGCTGGTGGCTCAGGGGACTGCTGTGTCAGCCAGAGCTGTCACTGCACTGCCCAAAGTGACACTGCTTCCAGACAGGGGACACAGCAGGAGCCAGAGCCCCATGTGCCTTGTTAAAGCCAGCAGTGCCTTCCCAGAGCCCCCCAGACACTGGTGTGTGGCAGGGGGACACTCCTGGACCCCCAGGCAGCACCTGAACCCCTCAGGCTGAGTGTGCTCTCATGTGCTTGCATGGAGCCAACAGCAGGGCAGGGCACTAGGGCTCTCGGAGGTGGAACGGGTCAGAAACAGCCCAGAAATGTCTGGTTTGTGTTTTAGTGCTCCTGGGCACACTCACAGTTCATTGGGGATTACAGACACACTGCCAGAAAAGGCTCTGAGAGTGTAACATCCACCTTGGCCTTAGAGAGTGACCAAACCCCAGGGACACCCATGGCCCAAGGTGACATTTAGGCACCTACTCCAGAATTCATGAGCTTTAGGGGGAAGCATGAAGTCCAAAGGAAGTCAAAAGAAATTTGGAATACAAACCAATAAGGAGAAAGCACCTTTTTTTTTTCCCTATTAGGATTAAGGATGAAAAAAAATCTGGTGAGCAAAACCAACCTGAAGTGTCAGGGGTTTCTGATCTGCGATGCCAAGCTCAGCACCCACTGCCCTCCCTTTCCCCCTCCCTGGCTGGTGCCCATGGTGATGGGAGAGAATTCCTGCTTCCAAAGGGGCAGAGCTCTGGAGCAAAGGGCCATATTCCTGACTGCTGCGGGTGTCCAGCTCACTGGTGGGCCTGTGGGGTTTGCCCTGCTCCCAGGGCTGGCTGTGTGGGGTTTGCCCTGATCTGTGGGGTTTGTCCTGCTCCCGGGGCTGGCCCTGTGGGGTTTGCTCTGCCCTGTGGTGTCTGCCCTGCTCCCGGGGCTGGCTCTGTGGGGTTTGCCCTGCTCCCAGGTTTGGCTCTGTGGGGTTTGCCCTGCTCCCAGGGCTGGCCCTGCTCTTGGAGCTGGCCCCGTGGGGTTTGCCCTGCCCTGTGGTGTCTGCCCTGCTCCCGGGGCTGGCCCTGTGGGGTTTGCCCTGCTCAGGGAGCTGGCTCTGCCCCCAGGGCTGGCCCTGTGGGGTCTGCCCTGCTCGGGGAGCTGGCTCTGTGGGGTTTGCCCTGCTCTGTACGGTTTGCCCTGCTCCCAGGTTGGCTCTGTGGGGTTTGCCCTGCTCGGGGAGCTGGCTCTGCCCCCAGGGCTGGCCCTGGGGGGTCTGCCCTGCTCCCTGGGCTGGCCCTGTGGGGTTTGCCCTGCCCTGTGGTGTCTGCCCTGCTCCCGGGGCTGGCCCTGTGGGGTTTGCCCTGCCCTGTGGTGTCTGCCCTGCTCCCGGGGCTGGCCCTGTGGGGTTTCCCCTGCTCAGGGAGCTGGCTCTGCCCCCAGGGTTGGCTCTGTGGGGACTGCCCTGCTCCCAGGGCTGGCTGTATGGGGTTTGCCCTGATCTCTGGGGTTTGCCCTGCTCCCAGGGGCGGCCCCGTGGGGTCTGCCCTGCCCTGGGGGTTTCTCTGCCCCACACGGCACAGGCCGGCGGTGCCGCCGCTCCCACGGCCCGGCAGCCCCGGGCGCCGTTACCGAACTCGTCCTCCATGGCCATGATGATCTCCACTTGGTCCAGACTGTCCAGGCCCAGGTCCTTCATGAAGTGGGACTCGGCTGTGAGCTGGGGAGGACACGGGGTCAGCGGGGCACGGGCACCCGGCCCGGCCGCGCCCGGGCCGCCAGCTCCCGTTACACCGGAGCCCGCGGCCCGGCCGCCTCCCCCCGGCCCCGCTCACCTTCTCGGGGTCGATCTTATCGTAGAGCTTGAGCACGTAGAGCACCCGGTCCTTGATGTCGGCCAAGGTCAGGGGCGGCAGCTCGGAGAAGCCGCGGCAGAGCGGCGCGGCCACGCGCGGCAGCCGGAGCAGCGCGGGCGGCGCGGGGCGGCCCGGCGGGGCGCCGGACCGGTGCCTGCAGCGCCCTCTGCCGGGCGGCGGCCGCAGCGCTCCGGGCCGCGATCCCGGCTGGACCGGGCCGGGAGCGGCGATCCCGTGAGCCCGGCTGCGATCCCGTGAGCCCGGCTGGACCGGGCCGGGAGCGGCGATCCCGTGAGCCCGGCTGCGATCCCGTGATCCCGGCTGGACCGGGCTGGGAGCGGCGATCCCGTGAGCCCGGCTGCGATCCCGTGATCCCGGCTGGACCGGGCTGGGAGCGGCGATCCCGTGAGCCCGGGATGGACCCGGGATCCCGTGACCCCAGCTGCGGTCCCGTGATCCCGGCTGGACCGGGCCGGGAGCGGCGATCCCGGGCCGGGAACACCTCCACTGCTAGAGCAGACCCTGTCTGGCCTCTGTTCCAGGGCTCAGGCACTGCACAGGAAAGAAGCTCTGCCTCGTGTCCAGGTGGAACTTGCCATGCCCGTGGCCTCTTCTATCGCTCAGCTCCACCGAGAAGAGCCGGTCCATCTTCCTGGCACCCCCTTTAGATAATTACACCCATTGGTAAGGCCCCTCTCAGCTGTGCCTGCTTCTGAGGCTGACCAGCCCCATCTCCTCAGCCTTTCCTCGTCACTTTCATCATTTTCACAGCCTCTGCGGGACTCGCTCTAGGAGCTCCGTGTCCCTGCGGTCCTGAGGAGCCCAGAGCCGGACACGGCTCTCCAGAAGTGCCTCCCAGGGCGGAGCAGAGGGCAAGGACCCCCTCCCTGACCTGCTGGAAATGCTTTTCCCGGGGACACCGCCGTCCTCCTTGGCCCCCAGGACGCACTGCTGGTCGGGGACAGCTCGGTGCCCACAAAAGCCCCCCAGGTCCTTGTCTGCAGCCCCCCTCAGAGCAGTGACAACAGACACGGGCTGGTTCCCAAGGCAGCGTTTAATGGCAGCGCTGGCGGGGCCCTGCCGGCCCGTCAGGCGGCTCCCGGCTGGGGGGCCCGGTACCGGTACAGGTGCACGGTGCCGTCGCGGCGCCCGGCCAGCAGCCCGGCCCCGCCGCTGGCCCAGCGTGCTAGTGCCCAGCGCCCCGCAGGGCCCGGGGGCAGCACGGCCGTGCAGCGGCCCCGCAGCAGGTCCCACACGGCCACCGCACCCGACGTCAGCACGGCGGCTCCCGCGGTGTCCCACACGTCACCCTCCAGGTACCTGCGGGGACACGGGGGGCAGCAGGAGATGGGCTAAAACACCGTGGCAGCGTTTGGTCAGTTAGGGCTCAGTTAAACGTTAATAGCAACTGCAGGCAGCATACAGTCGGGGCTGTTCCTCCAGTGCAACTGGGAAGGAGGACCAGGAAATCCTCCTGGAGACTCAGAACATAGTTGAAAAAGGTGTACTCTTATAAAGTGGTTCTCTTAAAAAATACCCTGCAAGTGTCCAAGGTCAGGTTGTACAGGGCTTGGAACAACCTGGTCTAGTGGAAGGTGTCCCTGCCTGGGATAGGGAGTGGGACTGGATGGTCTTTAAGGTCTCTTACAACCCAAACCGCTCTGTGATTCCATGACTGTTCAGTAACCAAGACCTTGGTCCAGCACTATTCCCCCACATCCATCACATTTCCTGTGTAAGGACACTGCAAGGCTGAGCCTTAAACGCAAGGCTGAGCCTGCTGATGCCTCAAAACACAGGACAGGAAGGAAAAGGCCATGTGCCTGCAGCCAGCTGCTCCACACAAACAAAGCTGGCACGCTCCAGCCGCAGGCAGCGCCAGGGGTCCAGCCGAGCAGCCCAGGGACACTCCCCCAGTCCCTGGGGGACAAAGCCAGCCCCACGTCCCCACGGTGACAGGGCTGACAGGGCGGACACTCCCCCAGTCCCTGGGGGACAAAGCCAGCCCCACGTCCCCACGGTGACAGGGCTGACAGGGCGAGGGGTCAGCGCACAGCCTGGAGTGGGAAGCGGGCAGGAAGCAGCCCGGCCCCCAGCCCGCGCACCGGACACACGCAGGGCCGGATGCACCCTTATCACCGGGGAGAGGGCTGCTGGATCCCTGCCAGAGCTAGCCTGCTCCTCGGGGCCCCTCCAAAGCCCCCGAGGGAGCCCCCCCAGCCCAGCCCAGCCCCAGGGACTCGCCTGCCTGCGGGGCCGGGCGGGAGGCAGGAGAGCATCGCCCCCGCGCTCCGGCCCGTGCGCGGGTTGAAGGCCACCACGCGGAACGCTGGGCTTCCACAGGACTCGCTCTCTTCGGCATGAGGATGGCTTAAAACAACAAACAGAAGGCCCTGATACAGAGAGGGAAAATACATCACTAAAAACAACAGCAGGAGGAGGAAAAGCAAAATAATTTTCCAAAAATTAACTGCTACGTTCTCTCTAATCACAGCCCCATGAACAGTGATGCATTATTTTTACTGAGGAAAACAGAAATGGTTTACTTTTCTTATCAAATTAGATAAAAGCAAAAGCAGCTGCTGGCTGATAAAGGCTGATGCAACATAGCAGAGTGACAGCTCAGTGACCCGAGGGATTTATGAATTTCTCTTCCTGTTTTAAAAAGCTAAACCTGCCATAGGATAAAGTGACACCTCAAAAAACAAAAGAAGTAAATTTTCTGGGTCACATTTTAATCCCTACAAGCTAAAAATGTAACAAAAATTCCATGGAAAGCAGCACAACTGAAAACAGTAGTTCCCAGAACAGCCACAAATCAGCATGAAATATTATAGGATGGATAATCTGAGGAAGACTCCAAAGAGTCTGACTCAAGGCACCATTATTGGACAAGACATTCTTGTCCCAAAAGGCTACAAAAGGCTCACTGAAAGCAATCAAATCCTTGATAAACCACAAAAACCCATTGGGAATCACAGCACAGGTAGAAGCAAGTGGGTTAAGATGATTAGTATGAATGTTGGTTTCACACAGCTCATTCCCTCGGGCATGTATGTCCAGAGGAACCATCCACAGAGGGTTTGTAATGCTGGCAGCACCCACGTGTGACGTGGAAGAGGCTTGCCAAGCACCAGGCCTGGGCAACAGCACTTCTGCTTCCCACAGGCAGCATGCTGCAGCTTTGGAATGCACCAGGATGCATTGCTCCCAATTTATTGGCACCCTGCAGAAAGCCAGGAGTTGAGGCAGCCAGTGTGTTCCTCCTGGTAACCTGTCTACTCTTGAATTATTTGCAGTGTATTGAAACAGAGCTGACAGTTCAACCCTCCCTAGCAACTGCAATCCTTTAGATCCCCATCCCAGCCAGTGCAGCCCAAGCATGAACTGTGAATTTTGTGCACGTACGGAGTCGGAATATGCTCGATGGCAGATGGAAGCTGGGTAGGAATAACCAACGTGCATCTTCCTCAGGAGCTGACCTGTTTTCAGATTCCTGCAGTTGGTGAAAACACAAATTCTGACTCATTTCTAATCACAGTTACACCCCTGTGCAGGATGGACATGGGTTTGTTCCACATGAAGCAAACTAAGCCAATAGCCAGGAAGGGTGTAGTGAGGATGACAAAAGCAATGGAATTACAGCAGCACAGCTCATGCCCTGGCTGTCTGACTGTGGTGCCACACTGACCACTGGCCCTCTGACAACCCCCATTTCACGGTGGCTCAGCAGCCAGCCAGCACCCCTGTGCAGCCCTGCAGCTGCTGAAACTGCCCCCAGCCCCTAAATTGTGTGTGGCAGAGGAAACACTCACCAAACCACAACGCTGTTCCCTGCAGTGGTGCCCACCAAGGCCTCTCTCATCCCTTCTACTTCAGCAAAGGCTGTAACAGTTTCTTCAGGGGGCATCAGAGTCTGCCTGTCCTTGCTCCTGAAAGGAGACCAGCACATAGAAGAGCAGGTAAAACTAAAACTGTGTGCTCTGGAAGAGGAACATGACACTGCTCAACATCCAAGGTGTTTCCTCACTTTTATCCCACCCACCACATGGAGACCACCCCAAAGCAGCACCCCCAAACTCACCCCCCTGTCTCTGAGAGAGAAACCATCTCCACTTGCTGCTCCTGCATGGTCCTGCTGCTGCTCACCAGCCTCCAGTCCTTTAGTCCAACAACTGCTTTTATATTCCCAGTTTTCACTAGGGAGTGCTTGAATGAGTCAGTCTCAGAAGAATAAAGCAAGAGCCTAAATCAAGAGACAAGCACACACCATGACAGGAGGAAGCCCCACTCAAATACGTAGTAGCATTTACAGATCAGCCTGTGTTCAATCAGTCTGCCAGCTCTGAGGTGAATAAACAGGTCTTTATAGTTGATTTTTAGAAATCACTTCCATATTTTCCAACTGTTAAAGCAACTGAGAAAGTGCCACATTAGTAAAAAGGTAATTTCAAACACTTCTCACAAGGAGCTGAGCTGCAACTACTCAGGGTGCAAAGCATTAGTAAGAAATAAATACAAAACCTTATTTCTCCAATCTCCAGCTCTCCCAGTGCTACACACACGAGGTTACAGGTGTCTGGCAGAGGAACAATCTGGATTACAGGAATCTGGGACAACAAAACAAGAATTCAGTGCCACCCACAGTGTCCCTTTGACTTTATTCTCATTTTCTAGAGTGTTTAAAGTGAAATGATGTGGAGCAGGATTGATTTTCAGACCCCTCTCAAGAAGCACACCTAAATGAACAGCTGAACTCTCTGCTGACTGGTTGCCTAATTAAACAATCCCTGCTGATACAAGAGACAGAACGTGTCTTGAGGAACTCTAAGTGGAAAAAGCACAAGCGAAGTGCAGCACCATTCTGTGCATGAGGAATTCCAGCAAGTAACACGCAACCACACAAGCTGCAGAGCTCGGTAACTCACACACGGGGCAAGAAAGCCGCCCTCAACTCTAGGAACAGGGAGTGTGCCCATACCTCTCTCAGGTGCCAGGTGTAGACCCTTCCCCAGCAGGCGGGTGCCCGTGGCTCCCAGAGGGACACGGCGCTCTCGGAGGCAGTGACCACCCGCAGCTCCCTGCAGCCGGCTGCCGCCCACCACACGGCGCTCACGTCCACCGCGCCCGAGCACGAGCAGTCCTGCCCAAACAAACACTGCTGCTTCTCCTCTGACACACACGCTACCTGCTGCACTTTTGTTAAGCTCCCTCTTGCAGAGCTGCTGCTGCTGCCTCGGTAACAATTGCCTGCTGTTCTCCCACCTTTAGCTCTGACACAAACTGCAAGCTCTCTTCTCTGGGGCCATCCGGCAGCACTGCGGTCAACTGCTCTGCTACATCTTTTTTCTGCATGAACAAAGTAAAGAATGAGGATAATTCAACTTTGAAATTATATTCAGCACCTGCAAGAATGAGGCAGAATTGTTGCATGCTCTCTGTCACTCTCATGCAGGTACTACATGCCACTGCTATGATCCATGCAAAGAGAATTTTTCCCTGAAGTCAGACAGCACTCTGGGAAAAGGGGATTTGCCCACAAAACCACTGGCTTACTACCCTTCACAAAGAGCTTGTTACCTGTTCAGGTGAAGCTCTGCAAGACTCCTGCTCTTCGTTCTCTGGCTGCTGATGCTCCTCCAAGGACA